AAATCGCATTGCTCTTAGTCAAATTATTGTTTTATACACTTCATCACTTCATATAACCACTTAAAAATCTGTTAGATGGTACTTTGTCCTGATAGCAGAGTTCTCCTTTTAAATTTGTATCACAGTTTTCTTTTTATGAAGACATAATATTTATTTGAGAAAGATTTTCCTCTTAGAGGAAAAAAACTGCCTAAACCAGATAAACTGCAGGTAATCAACAGTTGCTGTGTAATTAGAACTGTTAACGCCGATGCAGTTAAATAACCTTATGAAAATCTGTATGGCCACTGCTCTTAAGTGCTTAGAAGATCAAGGGCTGATTTGTCTCTGGGTCATGCAGGCACCTCTGTTCCAGTCAGAATTTTCCGAAGAGTAATAGCAAGGAGAAATCGACTTAATTTCCCTGGAAAAGAGTTCAGCATTGTTTTTTCCCAAGATTCAAAGAATAATGCATTGTCCCTTACATACAAAGACAACATGAAACTATTTTTTTTTTCCTAACCAAAATATTTTTTTTTCCCTTCTTGCAATAGCTGCTCTCCATTGGTGAGAAACAAAGAGTACTCATCAGTAAAATAACTGTACAAGTGAAAACAGTGTCTGCAAAACCAGCAACTGAATTTCCTTCACTAGGCGCAAGGATAGATCTAGACAGAGTGCAAACTATAATGGAATCTATGGGATCTAAGTTGTCTCCAGGTGCGCAGCAACTCATGGACATGGTCCGATGTCAGCAGAAAGTAAGTCGTTGTGCTTTCCCATAAACATAAATAGTACTGATCTGTGACCTTACCTTCTGTAACAGTTAAGCATGTTCTAAACTGATCTGGTGAGAAAGACTTTTGATTTTTTTTTTTTTTTTTTTTTGGTAACCCAAACTTCCTGCCATTTTAATCCTGTTTTAGCTATTGCCACCCTTAAATAAGGAGTGCAATGAATAAAGATTGTGTACTCAAGGAATCACTGTGAATACACCAAGTCCAGAGTTAAGGACTCTGTATCATCATCATTTTAAACTTCACTGCCACCTTACCCTCCTTTTGCTCGTTTCTGTTGTCACTGCTTGTCAAGGATGGTGGGCACGTTCCCGGTAATGTTTGGGGTGTAGGTAGATGGGCTGGTTTGTCTCCTTCATTATTAAAAGCATGTCACCTTCAACTAAAGGGAACATGCTCTTACAGAGCATGTATTTGATTTAGATACTAATCCTGCAAAGTAGGCTATTTCAACAGAATCCTGAATCCATCTGATGTGAATAATGTTCAGTCCTGGGGACATAGCATGGTAAAAATGAAGTCAGTAAAACTGTTTTGTTACTTAGAGTCTGTTAACACATAATATGTACAGTGAAAATCATCTCCTTTGCTTTTCCCTAAGAAAACCCTAGGGACATGGTTTAGTGGGCATGGTAGTGTTGGGTTGACGGTTGGACTCGATGATCTTAGAGGTCTTTTCCAACCTTAATGATTCTATGATTCTATGAATGTGATTCAGAACTACTTGTAAAATCTTTATACTGCACTAGTAGAATGCTGAGTTATAAAGTATCTATTTTTGTTATTATTGTATAATTTCCAGTATATTTACATTCTTAAATATTAATCGTATTGTTTTTCTTCCCATCAGAACAGTTTACCTCTTGGAGACAAACTTAATTGGATCTTTGGGAAAAATTCAGACTTTGGAGGTGACCATGCAATAGATGGATTGCTCAGTGCAGCTGTTCAGACATCACTAGATCAATCAGCCAGTGAACCTTTGCGTGTTAAAAATCATTTAACAAGTGAAACAGTATATGAAGACTTAAAAATAAGTCGTGATCTGAACACACAGGTACCTGAAAAAGGGAATACTTCCGATTCTGAAGGACTTACTACCCAGCAAAACACAATTAACCTCAGAAATGATTTTAAAGTCATGGGATCTTCGCATATGCAGGAACAAGTGAGCGAAACCCCAAATGTAGCTAATCCACAGTTGCTTCTTCCTTTTCTTCAAAACTTATGTAGTCAGGTAAATCATCTTCGGCTAAAAGATGGTGATAGGCATTTTGGTAAAAATGCAGTGACTAAAGAGGAAGGCATTCAGTGTGTTGGGTAAGTTGAGTTTGGTACACTTATTAAACTTGTAGTGTGACTGTATTTATTGACAAGTTTAAAAAATAAAATATATAATGTAAGCATTTTATTCTCATTAACAGCAGTAGTGAGTCTTAAAATATGTGGTTTTGAAGGCTGTGTGGTGATGAACATGATTACAATTAATTTTTCAGATGAGCTGCTTGAATATAGGAGTTTTTCAGAAGAAATCACAACATCATTTGTTTGTGTCTTTTGCCTCCATTTCACCTTTTATGATTTCAAAAAAAAGTATGGTCCTTCTGCGATTTCAAATACGCTTAGTTTATCTTTCTCATCTGTTACTACATTTTCATTTTTACTACTTCTACCTCCTAAATTCTTACCTCTTCCTTTTTTCACACTATGGGCCACGATCTTTCTGCTTAGTGTATCTTGTCCCACCGATCCTTTCTGTCCCTCCTCATCTGTTGGCATTTACAGTGCAAACTTCACAGTAGTAGTAGTGCACCTAGTTTGATACCAAAGGAACAATAGTGGAAACGGTGAGATGTAGGAATGTATCGTAGGAATCAGGGTTCTAATAGAGCCTGAATATCTCCAGCTCCTGGGACAGTGCAGTATTTTTAAAGAATGCAGATGCAAAAAGAATTGCATAGTTTTTATAACTCTTAAAGCACTTCAGCTGAGAAGAATAAAGCCTGCCATACTGACAGAGTTTGAGCTCTATGTATACTGTTGAGTTGTGTGGATTTTGTCACACGTAACTAAGCTGTCTAATGTGTAACTGAGCCTTTGAAAAAAATAAGGTTGAAAGATGACTATATACTGTAGCATGTGTATAAAAAAAATTCTGAGATTTAAAATGTGGCAGGCAGGCAAGGTATTTTACTTGTGCTAAAAACCTAATATCATCCAAACTTTATTGTCTGATAAATGAGATTTTACATTTGGAAGATGAAGTGCCTAGATCTCTATCATGCCCCTTGTCATTAAGAAATAGGTTATACTTATTCTTATGTTTGCTCTTTTCACAGAGTAGAACAACAGCCTATTTGCTCCTATTTGGAAAAGGTGATCTCAAAAAATATGGATCTGATGGAGAAAAAACTAATGGACTATATTGATCGCCAAATCCAGGCTCTTCAGACACATATAGATAATAAAATGGTTCTCTTAATGGACTTGGTTCAAAACTCAAAGCCAAACAAAATTTCACAAGCGCACTATGATTCTAACGAGGGGTTCTCTAATGGAGAGAGGTAGATGTATATAGATATAGGACTTCAACGTGAGTACTTTAAGGGCAATTATACTTTACAAAGCTTAGTATTTATGGAGTTATAACTGTAAAGAATCTCAGTGTTGTTGATTTGCATTTTGTTACTGTAATTCTATCCACTGTTGTACACAGTTGTTAGTTTTATGAAAGATCTTAAGAATGTGTGTTTTTTCCTAAATATAAGAATTTTGTATGCCCTTTGTGGCTTATTTATTTAAAGAGCATTGCTAAAAGCCATATGAAACAGTTTCCCAGTTTCAGTTTGAACAATGGAGAAGTACTCTAAATAAACTCAGTTACAGCTTGTCTTTTTACCTACGTGTAATCAGTTCACTTTTTTGTTACCTTGATTTTCAACGTGTAACGTGTTACCAGTAGAACAGAATGTGGTTTCTTTGTGTTTTTGGTTTATTTTAATGGTACTCCTGTTGAAGATGTTTCTTACTCTGTCTATAAGAGGAAGGGTAGTACTGGCATTGCCTAACTTAGACAGTTTAAGGAGTCAGGTTTAGAGAGACAGGCTAACTTGAACCCCAGCCTGGGTTCTTTGAAAGCCTTGCTGGCTGCACAGGCACCTAAAGTGATACCTAAAACAAGACTGTCATTATACTTTTCCGCTCCTAAGTTAATTGAGCCATACTGGAACAACTGAAGAATGTATACTTAGCAGACTTGTAATTGTCCATGTTTCATTATCCTAAAAATGCAAGTACTTCATTTGTGGTTCCTCTCAAGGGGATCTTGCTGCCAGATAGAACATGATGGGGTAGGATCTGCTGCATTTCACCAGCCTTAGGCCAGAGAAGCAGCCTTATTGCATCATATTTACTTTAACCTGTTGGGATCAGTTCTGCTGTCATTAGGGGAGGTGGAAATGTGACTCGAAGTCCCTCTTTTGTGAAAGGTCAAGCTTCATACTTCATTCTGTTTATTGCTCTTTGAGTTCTGGGGTGCACCATTTAACTTGGACTGTATAGGCACTTAATGGTAAACTCATAAGTTAGGTGTGCAGACATTGGTTGTATTCGGCGACTTAAAATACATTGTGCAAAAGCTATTGATGGGAAAGCAAGTGTTGACTGAACAAGCGGCATAGGCAGGTACAATCCAGTATCTTTATCTAGTCTACCTAGTATTTTCTTCTCCAGGAAAACTGATGTCTTTTGAAGACTGTCTGATCTTGATGGTAGCAACCCATAGGAGTAGATTTTGAAGAGAGGATAATTTGCTTTGAACAGACATGTCGCAGTTGTCCCTCAACTTAACTCATGCCAGGTGCACTTTCAAAGTGATTTGAAAGGATAAAAAGAGAATTTTTTTTTTTAAAGAAAAAAGGACCTGAATTATCTTGTACTTTAAAAGTCACTTTACACTTGTAAAGTTAGATTTTAGATGCTTTCTAAGAAACACACTGAGGTAGACACTTGTATTCTTTTTCAACTCGGTGATTTAAGATACAGTGCTAGGTTGAGAGTTTTTTTGAATTACAGAAAAAGTTGAAATATGTTTCCAAGCATTGTTGTATTCTAAGGCTGTTAGTTTATTGATTTTTGGTTGGTTTGTTTTTTTCCCTCTCTCCTCTTTGAGTGACAAAATCTGAATAGAAGTTGACACAAATTCAAAATATCCTGAAGTAGTTATTATGAGCTTTGGATTTTTTGGTAGCCGTATCCTGCTTGGCGTTTGATATGATATTTTAATATCACAGCTACCACAATGATAACATTTGAAATCAAAACCACAAATGAGAGAGTGTAGAGGCTGTATTGTTGCAGGTTCGGGGTTTCTTCAGCATCTGCTTTAGTGAGGGATTCTGTGTAGAGAAGACAGTGAGATGTTTAGTTTTGAATACCATGTCATTTCAGTTAAAATTAAATAAGCATTTTTTTCAGATATTTTGGTTCTGAGGATTTGACCCACAACGATTGCAAATTCTGAATCTGTAGTGCCAAAGAGTTGTAAAAATTTGTAATGAAACAATTGTGCAGAAGAGCATCGCAATGTTAACAATTCTTTGGTATTGCTGCAGGCAAGTTTCTGCCAAGCAGTGCTGTCATTATCTTTAGAACCGATAGATGGGAGACATATTGCTGAAGCAAAGCTGGGCAAAAAAGAAGCTCATGGTTCTAACACTGTCCCTTCTAATGGTTTACTAGCTGGTCCTTGGTAAAACTCGTTATTTTTCTGTAAATTGTGAAAGATACTATGAGAATTAATCTATGTTTTATAATACTTTGAGTATGATCTATTTGCACTTGAATCCTTTTCACATTATAGATGTGTCCAGTTTCTATCATATGGATGCAAAATCTTTCACTATTGAAATAAATGGGAACATGTTTAAAATGCTGCTAGAGTGCAAAGAGGTTAATAATTATTTTAAAAAGGAAGAAAATGTTTATTACTATTAAGAGCATGATTAATGCTAAATACTTCTTAGATCTGACACCTGAAAACATGTGGCATAATGTGCTTTTCTCAGGTGAAGCTTTGTGCTCAATAAAAGCTAGAACAATGGGTGTAGTGGGAGTTACAATACAAGCCCTTTAAAGTTGCTTTTCCATATTTTGCAGTCTGTTCTACATTGGCGCTCAGTACTCGTCTAGACCACTGTAGAGCAGACTGCAAATCGTGCTAGAGTATGTCAGATTGGGGCACTAAAGCTTAGTTGTTTTACAAACGGCTTTGCAGCTCTAAGTTAAAAGCATGGTGCTTTTGATTTGTGCTCCAGTGGCTGTCCTTTTCATCTTTTTGTTCTTATAGGCAATACATACAGTATGAGGATTTAACCTAGCGTGGAATAAGTCATCTGTGTTTATCATCTGGCATAACTTTTCTGTAGCACCAACAAATAAAACTAAGTGAAATTGAGTGGACTGTTGTAAGATACACAGGTTGCAACAAAGCTTGGCAACGATTTGGAATGTGCTTTTTAAGTAGTCTGTGGATTTTTGAAATGAGCCCTGATCCTTGTGTATGCGTCATCAAAAAATGTCACTTCTGAATATCTGAAATCTCTTGCCATTCATAACTCTTTCTGAATACATAGTCAGATTTTGCATATAGTACTTCTGTAACTAGGAGCGAGTGCTTCTTTTTCTACTTCAAAGAACACACCTTAATCCAAAAGGCCATCAGTGTTGGTTTGAAAAGTATGTGTGTGATCTCACAAAACACAAACTTCTGTTGAACCTGTTGCTCTGATCCCATGTTAGTTCTGAACTAGTGTAATTCACTTATTTCATTAGTGGAACGAAGGTAATGGATTTACACCAAGGAAGAGCTTAACCAGGTTCTTAATTTATGTATTCCTCTTACCTGAGTGATCAGCAGACCTGAGATCTCTTTTCAAGCGGATGGGACCTACTACAGTATTAGTTTTCCACGTGTATGGAGAAATAGCTCTTTTGTGCCTGGAGATACAGCCTTCGGTACAGCGAGAGTTTGCGTTGTTGCTGTCACAAATTAAAATATCACACTGGAGATAAACTGATGGAAAGCTCCGCAGGAACCTGAAGGCATTAAATTTGAATCTTCCATAGTGTTCAAGTGGTGGGTACGTTACCACAGTGTCATCTTTATTGCAGCTGCAACAGAATTTATAGATCTGTTAAAGTAGTCCACATAAAAGAATCATTCTTGGTAGCTACTGTTAATTAACCACAGCATTTAACTAGGGCATTATTTTTACATGTGGGCATACAATGATGTGCTTTTTTCCTTTCCCCAGTGCAATGTAGTGCTTGTTTTTCCTAGCTCCGTTTATGTAGTGCCTTTAAATTTCTATGAAATTTAGCTTCCAACCACAGTCTACTAAAGAGGATAAGTGGAAGAGAGAAAAATAAAAGAACCATGGTTGACATTTAGATTATATTTTCTCATGTATTAGAAGACAGTCATAAAATAATTCAGGGTCTTACCCGCTTCTGATTAAGTCATATGCTAGCGATCCAAAATCAGGTTGTGGAGATGCTATACAGGTATCGACAAACACCAGAAGATTTGGGTCGGTGGAATGAAGACTGACTTGAGCAAAAAGAGTTTGGTTCAAGTCTACGTAATATGGGGACTGAAGTACAGGCTTGGAGAATGAATCTGAGTCATAGAATGACATGCTAACATTGTATCTTCCCACAGCAGTTGTGTTTTGGATTATATTATTTTGCGTTATGTAAATGACTTCTAAGGTTGAATTGTTTTCCATTTTGCATTTTGCAATGATCTCTATGCTCTTTTGACGGGTGATGATGCTGCTAGTTTTAGAGAGAGATACGATGTTGGTGTAAGTGATGGTCTGACCTTCATCCTGTAAAAGGAATCATATGAAGTGCTCAGTTGTGATTATATGAGCAGTGCAGTTGAAAGCAATCGTGCTAAAGTTACAAAGCCGCCCAGCTATGCTTATCAGAAACTCAAGATACCTTTGAAATGTGAAACAGATTGCAACCAAAAAACCATTATCAACCCTCCTGTTTTTTCAAAACACTGCACCAACCCATGCAGCAAAAAGGTTAAGGAATACTGCATGGAGTGTGGATAGTACCAAAGCTACCTTCAGTCAGCCTTATCAAAACAATGCTATGAACTAGCTCTTGGGAATCTTCACATCTTAGGGTTTTCCCCTTTCCTTGTGACTCCAGGATAAGTGCCAGCTGTATCACTTGCAGGGAATGAGCTATGTGAAAGTAAATCTGCTGTTAGCTTATACACATGCTATTCATAAACTGCTTTCCCAAGCTCTTGTCATTCATAAGCTATCGTTAGCTTCACGTAACTTTTTTCCCCCTTTACCTTTTTAGTTGTTCCACAGCTGGCCAATGGGAAGAAAAAGGTCACTGGATCTGTTAAAACTGGACTGCAAGATGGATCATTCAGCTGTAGGTGAGTTTCATTATAACCAAGGGAGGCCAGATAAGATTTGCTCAGAACAATTTTCATGCTATCTGAAGAGCATGTAAGGAATGCTGCCATGAAAGAGAAATTTAGAAAACAAAACAAAAACACAGAACAAAAGACGTTACCACAAACTGTGCTGCGGTCACTTCTTAGTTGGTGTAGATCCTTGAACCTGTTGCATGGTTCTTGATTTGTCAATCTGAAACAGGTCGTGCATTTGAGGTCATGCAACAGTTGGAACAAAATTTCATGCGCGACCTCAAGAATGTTAGATAAGGAAAACCATGTAAAACTCATGCTGAAAGTTTAATTTTAAACGCAGTAACGCAGAATGAATTGCAGCCTTTATAAAAGGGGAAAGGAATCAAAGTGCTAGTACAGAATGGTGGGTGAGGAAATTGATTTATGGCAGATATCGAGGCTTTAGAGGCTCCTTTTCCACCTCATTTAATGAGAAGATGGGCATGCAAACATACGGAACCAATAAGGAAAATGGTCCAGCTCTGGGGGAAAGGAAATTACAACACACCTAAACCCTGTTCGACTAACCAGTACAGACCATTTTCCTGAGTATCTTGGGGAACAATAGCATTTAAACTAACCAGTCAAAAAAAGTTTATCTAGGATGGTAACAATTGTCAAAAAGAAGACAGATTTTCAATGGTGCCAGCCAGAAAAAGGACCAAAAAGTGAAAGAACAGACTTTCTTTCACAGATGGGTCAAGTAATAATTTATGCTCTATAGGTGAGACTAATGCGGGATTTTTGTATGTGAAGACGGTTAATGACTAGCAATAAAAAGGCGTAAATCCTCAGTATCAACCATCAGTTCTTTTCGATATTTATAAGGGAAGGGAAGAATCATACATGAGAATAAGAAACACCATCCTATTCCATGTAGCAGGTGTACGTACTGTTGGGCTCCACGGGACCTGGCAGTGGAACACTGGTATACTGAGCAGAAAATCCTCTGTAGGAGTTGGCATAGTCCGTAGACAACACAACCGTCATAACATTTGAAGAAGATTCAAATGTGGGCTGAGCACGACCACATACTTTTCCTATTAAGCCAGTGTTAGTGGTGGGGCCATCATAGACTGCTGTGAAGTCAAATTGGCAGTTTTGGTCTAGTTCTAGGCTGTAGACAGAGGAAAAATAATTACAGGGAAATCTGAGTATAGAGAACATTGCTCATACTGGACAGAGACCCAGTGCAGATAAAGTGTCTGATGAGTTCCAGTCGACTGAAATAAAAGAATGGAGAATAAAAGAACACGTAAATAGACATTATTCCAAAACCAAGTAAAACATGGAAAACCCTCAAAGGTAAGAAATGCTTAATAAGACCGTGATTCTGCTCTCATTGAAATAACAAGTATTTTGCTATAGCTCTCAACAGAAGCTGGATCAGCTATGTTTTTATAGCTCTGATACTGTATGTATTGATTGCTACTTAATTACTAAAAATAACCACACCTTCAAATACATATTTTTGTGTGTATATATATATTAAAAAAAAATCTTAAAAGAGCTTTTAAAGTGTAGGGTTGACTTATGCGGATCTCTGAAACCTCTTGTGTATGTCACCAGGGGAAGGCTCTTGCCCTATTTATCAATCTCCATGAGAGCTTATCTCAGTGCTTGCCACCCTTGGTGAAAAGCACTGGCTGTACTGTGGTGGGTGGATACCTCCAGAACAGCATTTCTGTTCCTGAATCAGCAGATGGACCCTGGCCAGGACTGGTGAGAACATACACCGTACTGTGCAGAGTTCATCATCTCAGAGGGCAGTGGTCAAGGTAACGATTTCCTATAGAATCCTATACATTTCATACTGAATTCTTATACAGCATTCTGCAGTCTGAATATCTCAAGAAATGTTCTTGAAGATGCTGCCCTTTGAATTCCCTTGGTCTTGAGACTTTCCTCTATGCTGAGTGTCAACTGATGCAGGGAAAGACAAAAAAGGGCTACTAGCCCACTAATATGGGAGACCAAGCCTGATAAAGAGCAATATGGGTCAGGAAAGTCTATGCCAGTGTGGTTTCCTTATGCCAGTGCATCCGTTAGCATTTATGCTTGCGAGTACTTAAGCCAGTGCTATGCTGTGTTCTTTGCCCAATGGCCAGCAATACTGAGGAAGATGTACTTTGGGCGGTATTTGCTTTAGTCTTCTTCTGACTCTCAGTTCTAAATTGCAATTACAGTGTAGCAAAAGCTTTATTTATACTGATGGATTTAAATTCAGATCATTCAAGCTAACTTAAAATGGACCTACACCTCATGGCTAGTCATCTGAAAGGCTTTCTGCAATAGCTATGGCACTGCAATAGCTATAGGGTAATGTATAGTGATGTGGAACACATTGCAATTACTTTGTCGTAAGAGTCAGGAAAGCCCATTTGTTTTAAATGTGCATAGATATTCTAAAAGTTTGAAAGCACTTCTGCTTCCTGTGTTTAAAATAATGCCTTTAAACAGAATGAAAAAAGAGTAATAGAGCATGAGGGCGTTTACTCACAAAAAATCCTGGAACTGTAAGTTTATCTTCGAGTTTTTTGCTGTTTGTATGTGCCAGACGCAGTATGTAAATTCAGGGTAAGGTACTGGGTAATTGGGGCTGGTAAATGTCCCATTGGGACCAGTTAATTGTCCCCCACAGTTTTCAGTTTCTGCAAAGAAGAGTAGATATATTGGTAACATAATAGTATATCTAATGACCTATAAAAAAATCAATTAAAGATCTAAAGTTTTGTAACTAGTAGGATTGTTTCTTTAGGATTCCATTCTTCTGGAAATTATTAACGGTACTAAAGGTAGAACTTCTATAGAGAATTTCAGGTCAGGTGGATGTTACAAAATGAAGCCTATTGTCACTATGGTGTATCTGCAAGGCACAATGTAATGGCATCTGAGATGGCTGTAGATGAGTTAGCTTTGATACTGTGAGCAATTTAGTTATAGCTACATTTTGGGTAAATTAGGTGCCATCTTGAAAAACTGGTAATGAAGATGCTATACCAGCCAAAAGAAGCCCCGAGAGACTTTATATTGGAGAAATCTGGAGGCCTTGGTCATGATCTATGTGGAAGTGCAAAATCTTCAAGTTTGAGAGATATTTTACTTGACAGACAAAGGCAAAATAAAATCGTCAGTGGAAACCTCAGAAAGACAAATGTAGACTAGAAATAGGGCATGGTTTTTCAGCAGCAAAGTTAAACACAAGCAGCATAAACTAGGATGTAGTAACTACTCTGTAAAATTGAAGCTTTTAAGAGCTTAATACCATGCCACTCAGATCAGCAGAAGGAAAGGAGCTGGTCACAAGCTAAGACTGATTTTGTCCAAGCTTATTCATACCTTTTAAGGAAAAAAAAGTAAGGAGCTTGTTGAATAAAAACCTTTACTGACTTCAGTGACCTGTACTCAGCAGGACTAGATAGTCATATTCTCTTTCTATAGTATTTACAAACTGAGCAAATTTAGTAGAAGCCTGTAAGTAAAAGTAGAGTCCCATAATGCTGCCTTTGCAATCATTTTTCTGAGTAAAATTGCACTTTTTAGGCTCTCCAGCAGGTGCACTATTGTTTTTCTGCCTCCTTCCTTCCACTGATTTTCCCCCACACCATTCTCTAAGGGCTGAAGAACTGAGTGAGACTAATTAAAGATTCTGTTAATAGTTTCTAGTTGCTGTCCTAAACTTTCCCTTAATGGGAAAGTTTCTTTTAATGGAGTAATTAAAATGGTATTTAATGGCTGCATTAAGTTCCGACTTACTTGTTTCTGGTGAAAAGAAGTAGTAGAAGACAAAGAAGTTTCGTGTGAAAGCCACGGAGTTTGTTGTTATGAGAAAAGTTAAACTGTCTGAAGATGATTGAAGTACTGGGACTGCATCAGTGTCACTACATACTTGTCCAAGAAGAGGCGAATTAGTTGAGGGACCATCATATATTTTAATACTTTCTGTTTCACAGCTTGAAGAAGGAGCAAATCTATTGAAAAAACACAGTGAGAACTACCTAAGCTCACTGATAGATATGCAAGCTCTTTGGAGTCCACAATACAGATTCAACACACAGAAATATTTGGAGGCAATATTTTTCTGTGCTGTATTCTAATGGAATGAAATAGTAAAAAAGCATCTGGAGGAAATACTTACTTAAAATAGGAGAAAATGAGCCTAATTGTTTGATTTGCATTCCTCTGAATTTGCCAGACGCAGTTTGCATTTGCATTTAGTTCAATCCTTAATGGTTTGTTGAGGTCATGAAGTGAAGCACCACAGCGAGGTGCACCTGTTGAGGAAGAGCAACAACAAAAAACAGCTTGCAAGGATCTCTCAAGTTTTCTCTTGCAATAACGTTTCATCCACCACTGTGCAAAGACTCTGGGACAGTCCATCATGGAACAGACATGCAAAATGTTGTACTATGTTTTTTTAATTTATATTACTGCAGTTTATGAAAGAATCAAATAGTAAAAGAGTATTAGAAAATACTTTTTATTCTTATTTTCCTGGTAGCAGAGAAAAGGGGAGTTAGGGCAACACGGATGAAGCCAATGGCAAAACTGGAAATGCCAAGTAATAGAGGACACCTCTGCAACTCTCTTCAGCAAGGTTTGTCACCACAAGCACTTCAAGCCTCTGTTCTTCCCCCTGCGCTGATTTCCTAAAGATCATTGAATCCATTTCTAAGTTTCAGCCCTTTATTTAAAAGCATTCAGGAACCTACGCCCAGAGAATCAAAATGGCTTTTCAGATTTGAGCTTCTAAAGGATTGTGTGTAGGATTACTGTATATTTACTGCTGCATACAATTCTGATCCTCCATTTCTGAAAGCGTACTGCGAAACAGGAAAAGCTTCAGAGAATGGCCATGAAGATCAAAAGTTTAAAATAGCTTCCAGACAAGGAGTAAGTAAATGGACTGAAGCATTTCAGGTCAGAAAAGGGGTAACTAGAGGGGAAAGGAGGTGCTAGAGGTCTGTACGTTCATAAAGAGGGTTAATATGAGATAATCCTTTTCAATACAGAAACTCGGTGGCCTGGAATGAAACCAGTAAGTTGTGGTTTTGAAACAAACACCAGGAACTGGCCCCTTGCGTGTGGATCTTTGCTGCAGGGTGATGTGGATGGTGAAAGTAAAACACAAAACAGGTCAAATCCGTGAAAGAAAAAGCCTTTGGTAACTCTTAAAAACAAAGATAGCATTTCCTCTGTTTCAGAAGTCCTGAACCACATTTGGTGGTGACTGGGAGGGTATTCTGGGGAAGTGTTATGCAGGCTTGTATCCATATTTTATCCTCTCTTGATTGTTTCTGGGTTCAGGATGCGGGGCTAGCTGGACTTCAACCCAGTTCTTTTACGAAAAAACCCACAAACAACCCATGGTTGACATCACTGACATCACTGACATCACTTAATAAGTTATGAAGTAGTTGCAGTAATGGCCGTTGTATAGGAAACTTTAAAGAAATTTAGTAATCCAGTTTGAGCATGAGATCTCCTTTCTACTTTAATATTAATCTGAAAAGAATGGTCTAGAACAGCAGGAAGAATTTCCTATACAGTGTATGCAGTCCCAGATAAAAAGGTCAGGCTTTCTGAAGAACTCCAGAGGGAAAAGAAAGGTTTAGGAGAGATCTTTCTCATCACATATGAAACCTCCCAATTGTAAAAGCTTTACAAGGTCAGCTTTGCCCTACCCTTCCTCTGCATCCCTCTGGACTGTTCTCTAGCCAGACACCACTAGAGCAGCTCTGCAGCAATACTTCGTTATCCTACAGTAGCTACCCACCATTAATCAGGTAAATTGCTGATTTGAGCACAGAATGGTGATCCCCAATCGAGCAACAAATGACTATCTCTTGCTTCTGATTGAACAACAGAAAAATGAGCAAATCTTTTAAAAAGCAGCCATTTCCCAATTAAGTCATTTTCTTCCTATTACTCCAATACAGTATTAATTTATAAATGCAAATTTCCGTTCCAGAATAAAATACCTTCAAAATCAAGTTCTTAAGTTAAAAATTTGCCATAGGGAGTCATATATTGAAATTTTTTTTTTATTTACCATTTTTAACACTTGCTGGCGCATTTGGGTGTTACTATTGTGCAGCAGTACCTTAAGAAAAAATGCACTTTTAGACATATGTTTAACATTTTTCCCTTCAGTTGCCTATAAAATACCTATTGTGCAAAAATTAATAAAATTTCACAGATGAAAAAAAGACTAGATTTCCATACCCATGGTTTCTATGGAGTTGTCTTCAGCGAGAGCTAGAGCAGCTACGAGAGGCAGGAGGAGGAACTGTCTGAGCGCCTGCATTTTGATGGCAGCTGGGGAGGGTAGGCTTTTCTAACTTTTATACCTCCTGCTATTTCATAATTATCTTGTATTACATGGTGTCATGGAAGGAGGGCTTAATCTCTCACTGTTTCTTTTTAACAGATATAAATGAGAAAGTAACAGGTGTGCCCATTTTTTTAATATGTACTACGTGGAGTAAGTTTAACTGTGCTTTTGTCAGCTCTTGTGGGTTCAAAGCACATTTTTCAGTTGATTTCATTGACCCGGTTTCATTGATGTGAGGAATGTTCTGGAAGGGATTGACAGACTCCCTTGGGAGACACATTCAGCAGTTTTGCTCTTAACACTGGTCAGCAGGAGCTTGGTTTTTTCCCACCTTCATTTTGACACCTATCTCTTTAGGTTGCACTGGGCAAATCATTCCCTGTCCTTGCTGAGGATTCCTCAGGTTGTAAAGTGCGACTATCGTAACAGAATTGTAATGAGTAGTAATTTCCTGTTGCTGAAACATTCATGGATGAACAAGGCCAGATTCATGTTAGTCACAGATTTAAAAGAAGATTGCACTGCAAACACTTTGCAGATAAAACTTTCTTAGTCCCTTGATAGCAGCTACAAAAAAAAAAGGAGTCAGCCTTTCCTTCCCGATTTAAGGAGACAAGCACAGTCCCAAGAGCCTCAATTCCTTCTAGCACGAGTCTAATGAGTATCTGTTCCAATGTATTTACACTGCTTTGTCTGTCTTTCCATAAGGACCAAAGCTCTTGAAATCCAGAGTATTTCCTACTGCAGCAGTGGACCTTAAAGCTTCTAGAGGTTGTGGTAGTGCCGGTGCCACAGATGTGCTATTACCCTGACCTTGGTTCGGTGTGGTACCTGCGCGGTGTGTGAACAGCCAGGGTTCACGCAGGAGCTGTGTGATTCTTTCCAATACAGAGGGCAGGTATCCCACAGCTGTGCAAACAGGTGGTCTTTCAAGTTTACCAGAAGAGTCAAATTGCAACGCAGACCTTCTTGAAACATATCCACGTACTTTCCTTTCATAAAAACAATTTTTTTTTGTACAAAACCGTTCTTTTTTCTCTCATTAACAAACTGAAATATGATGCATCTGTAGTGATCCTATATTTCTAATCTCGGACCTATGCCTTCTTTAATACAATTCTCTCTGATTTTTAACTCACTTTAAGGATTTTGAATGCAATTCTCTCTTTATCATGACAACATACTTATGCTGCCTTGAAACATGGAGGCATTGAATATCTATGTAAAGATGTTGCATAGCATTTGAATTCTCTTTAGCTTCTGGAAATGCTAAATTTGGATTTACTCTGTGTAGCCTTTCATTTCTTAAACCCACACACATACTTGCAAGAAATTTTCAAATGCTAACATCCATTTTGTATGCATTTAATGCGTGAACTGATGTGTGGAGCCCTGCCAATCAGTGCTGTGTCCATCAGAACCAACAAAAAAATGCCTATGGCTATGGTAGGCTGGTAATTTACTCTGGTAGTTATGGGTTGGTAGTCAAACTGTTTGGAATCACTTGTATATGAATGATTAGGAAATTTTCTTGCGCTGGAGTTGATATTAAGGGACTGGACCCCTAAGCAGTGCCCCAGTGTTTCTGAAGGGCTGAGCCCGTGCTCACACTTGAGGCTGGCTGGCAGCTCCGTCTGCACAGACGAGTCTGTAGGCAGCTGTGCTGCTGCTGCTGCTGCTCCGCGTACTCGTGCTACAAAGCTGAGCGTCCAAATTGTTTTCAAGTCTTGTGCGCTAAGCCCATGTTCAGATAGTGTGATGTGTTCAGACATCGGGTGATGCTGAAATATTAATGGCCTGCTTTGAATTTCCTCTCCTACCTCAAAAGAAGATGGCCAGCAAGTCTTCACAAAAGTCCTTTAAGATGAGAAGAGTAGAGAAGGTGTTTTACTATAGCAGGTCCTCAGAACAAATTAGCATGCATTTTAGTGTAAAGAAACAGGATTCAGCTGTTGTGACAATGTTATTTACAGGCACTTTCTCTTGCTGCCTGCAGCTGGGAGTGCGATATCAGGGAAAATGTGATTTCAAGCACTTTAAATCATTATCTGTGAGAAGCAGAGCAGTAGGGTTATGAGTGTGATGGAGTTTTGTATGAACTAAGTATTATTAGGAAATACTCTGGCTCAGGATGGGCATTATGGTCCTGCAGGACGAGGACTTTGGCTGAGAGCCTACTCAGCCAATGCCAAGGCTTAACCACCAGTAAGAGATTTGATCTGGAGCCTTCATGGGAGATCTGCGTGACTTTGGCATTTGAGAGCTGGCTAAGTTATTCATGGAGAAGTTGAGTTTCAGAATGACTCTAATGCCTTTTTTGAAGGGATGAAGCATAAAAGGAAAAGTTGTTGAAAAAAGTGGATTTTTTTTGTCTTGTGTGGCACAGCCTCTAGACGCTAGATATCCTTATTCAATACAGAGCATCTCATTATGAGTTTGAGTAATCTGCACATACTCGCCATACGGAAACCGAGTATTGGCTTTAAAGATGCTTTTCACACTCAGGCCAATTTCACCAGATTATCAAAATGTAATCCGTCTCTTTTCCTGAGATGACTGCTGTACTACTGTGCAATTCTGCAATTGACTGCCAAGATATTTTTCTCTATTATGAACTGAAAATTATTAATCTCCATTTTTTTCACCAAGTCATTCCAAGTAGGACAATTTAACGTTAAGATGCAGAAACTCTTGGCTCAAAGTGATATCATTTGAACAGATATTGAAAGAAAAAGGATGAAGCAAATGCTTATAATGAAGTAAATTTAAATGTAAATTTTTTTTATAGTTCTAACCTCTAGTAATAAAAACTGAAATATGGAAAGATTATAATAGTTTATAGGTATTGCAGAGATTATATCTCAGTACTCATACAATATTTTTTCCAAATATTTTTGTGTTCCTATTTAAGATAATTGCTCAGACGTTATTGGTTACAAG